AAGCGGCCAAAGTATTCATTCAGCACATCCATCTTATTCACGCCGGGAGGCACCTGGAAAGCATCAGCCGCCCTTAGCCTCTTTCGGTGCAGTTTTGGCCTCTTCCTTTCCCGGCGGCATCGAGCACGTTGCTAGAAGGAGCAGAAACGAATGAGAGAGACTCCAGCAAGAGACTGGTTGGACATCGAGGNNACTCTGCAGGCAGGGAGGACGGAATGGCTGGTACTCTGCAGGCAGGGAGGACGGAATGGCTGGTAAAGAGCGACGGAGTCAGGGTTGGATACTTGATCGGTCACGCCCTGCAAATGGCTTCACCATGCAAGCACGGAAGCCTGCATCACGACGATGCTCACGCCGCCGTTCTCGTTCCGCTCCAGCCGCTGACCTGCCGAAGCCAAGACCCGGAGCCGCAGACCGAAGACCCCAATGCCTGAGTTTTGCTGAGGCACATCGGTTCGGGGTTTCGGTTCCCCATAGGGTGATCTTCTGAGAGCTGGCCGCGAGAGCACCTTTGCGTGGCTGCGGCGGCGGATGCGAGGGCGGTGGCCTGAGCTTGGAGTTCGCGGCTGGGCAGCAGAAGTAACAAAAAACAGCGGCAGGCGCGAGGTAACGAATCTTTATATACAATGGTCAATAGTTCAAGACATGCTGGGAAGTGGTTCTGTGATTCGCCAGATGCTGCATAAAAGATGTGCTGGCCATCTCCTACCCTGGCCAAAGACCCTCACAGAACGACCAAAGCTAGAAAGATTCCACGCTCGAAACCCCAGAATCCAAAGAGTCCCAACCCTCAAAGGCCAGCAACAAAACCAAACACCCCTAAACACCCCTAGACCCCTACCCTAAGCGCCCCAAACCCCGAGCCCGAGCCCTGAAGGCCCGCAAAAAAAGCCAATGCCGAGCCCTGGCCTAAACCCTAAACCAATAAACCCTCAACCCCTTAAACCCTAAAACCTAAACCCCGAACCCCAAACCCAAACCCAAAGCCCCTAAACCCTAAAATCGGAACCGCAGCTTTCGAGCACCGCACCCTGCCGCGTAGGGACCCCTCCACGACTCAGGAGGCCGAGGCCTTCGCAGGGTTTAGGCGGTTTAGGGTTTAAGGGTTTAGGGCTTAGGGGTCTAGGGGTTAGGCGGTTTAGGCGTTGAGGGTTTAGGGTTTACCTTAACCCTAAATAACTCACCTGTTTAAGGACTTACATAAAGAAATCAGAACAGGAAACCCTAAAGAGGGAGGTTCTTCAGGGTCCAGGTAAGGTTTGGGGGTTCAGGGTTTTGGGTTTAGGCTTTCTTGGCTCTATATAAGGAGGGATCTGTATGGGTCTGATGAATGTGGTTCAGTAATGAGCTTGGGCAATAGGAAGTTTAGGGTGCAAGGCTTAGGAAGAAGGGGATCTAGGATTTAGTAGCGGCTTTATATGGGCTCCAAGGTTGTCTCAGAGGTTAGTAAGGGTTTCATAGGATGTTCCAAGGGCTTATCAGGCTTATCATCTTATCAGGTTTCCAAATGGCTTGGAAGACAGGGCCCGCTTTGTTACCTAAAGGGTGCCATCAGGTTACCAGGCTCCAGGCGGAGGATACCCCGCAGGCGGTGGCCCGGGATGCACGGGCCAAGGGGATGGAGCGTTGCCCATCCTGGGTGCAGCGCTTGATGGCAAAGCTGAGCACAAGGTGAAGGGTCTGGGCGTTTAGCATTTTGCAAATGCGAGGCGACATGAAGACGCTGTGGGGCCTACAGCTTTGCAGATTACGGCTTTGGCTCTTTTGACCTTCGGAACCAGGTGGGGATGAGTGTGTGGAGTCGTCATCTTGCGCTGCAGGGCACCGCCTTTCGGGCGACAAGTGTCCTCTCTTTTCGACAGCGCTTCAGTGTTCTCCCAAGCAACACCATAGTCACCATACGTCGGCCGGCTCTACATGTGTTCAGCTTGCCGCCACACACCCGCACCCGTGAGGTGAAGGCGGAGAAAAGCTTGAGATAGAGAACTTTGGTTGTGGTTGCCACATACCGCACAAATGATATATGAGATTCTGAGTCTGGCATCGTTGGAAGCAGCAGCGCTGTCTCGAACCCGGTGCCCCAAAAGTCTCGGATTTTCCCGTACGACCCGAGACCCCCCAGGCCCTGCATCCAAAACCACAGCTGCAGAGGCCGCGGCCAACCGCTAGGAGGACCTCTGAGCTGACCTGGGAGTTGGAGGTTTAAGGGTTTAGGGCCAGGGTTTAGGGTTTGGGATTTTCGGTTTAGGGTTTAGGGTTACGGGCCTGGGATTTGGGAGGGTGGAGACTTCCGTGTGCCAACGACTGCTGAATTTGCTTCCGACAGTACCCTTAATCTCCTCCTCGCAACAGGTTTGCAGCAAGCAATTTCAGGTTGCTCCCGTCGGGCGGGAGGAGAACAAACAAAACCAGCAGCACTCAAGTTGAATCTGACCATTACCTCGACACTATAGGGGTCTTCGTTGGAATAAAATCGGCGAACATTCAGCTCCCTATATTGCCCGCAGTTGCGAGGACACCGCCTTGAAGAGCTTCAAGGTGATCGATCTGTTACTGGTGTCTAGCAGGGTGGCTTTTTCGCGCTGTGGGGTATGTACCCGGTACAGAGTTTAGGGCGTTGGGGTTGGGGTTGTGGGTCATGAATGGATTCCGGGGTCTGCCGTTGCAAATGGCCGGATCTCAACTAAGCCTTTATTCGTTGAGCTCAGAGCTCTAGATCTGCAACGCTGCTCCACCTCAATTCCAAAAACCCTGAGCCGCATTCATGGCTGAAAGGGCTGAGATCTGTTTGTACTTCCACTGAACGGACCCCAGGAATTTCCGCTCAGCTATGTGGGGGCCCGTGAAGAAATCGCGGGGACGGAGGATTGGTGCAATGTTGAGTGAACCTGAGTCCCCCAATAGGGATACTTCTGACTATACCTTCCCTAGTTGCTGATTTCTCTGGGCCGACAATAGGAATTCAAAAGTTGCCATCACAGCTACAAAAGTTAAACCAGCTTGTGATGATCAACAGGCCCTAAACTGCGAAAAAACCCTAAGTCCTAAACCCTACAACCCTAAAGTACAGCCTAAAACCCTAGAACCCAAAAGCCCTAAAGTACAGCCTAAAACCCTAGAACCCAAAAGCCCTAAAGTACAGCCTAAAACCCTAGAACCCAAAAGCCCAGACGGAAGAATTGCTTTTTCCCAGCTGCGAGCGCGAGCCTGGAGATGGCAGGATCGTCTCTACACCGGAGGGATTGAACCCCGCCGTGGCTTGATAAGAGTTTAGGGCTTTAGGGCTTTAGGAGTTTAGGGCTTTAGGGCTTTAGGAGTTTAGGGCTTTAGGGGTTTAGGGGTTTAAGGGTTTAGGGGCGGCGGTGTTCCTGTACAGGACCCTCACCTGCTTCACTCACCAGCTCTGAGTTCAACGCAACTTGAGCAGATCAACAAAAGCCAAAGCGCAACTTGTTCAGGGTTTAGGGTTTGGTGTTTAAAGTTTAGGGGTTCTTACAAAAATAGGCCTTGCACACTGCAAAATAATTTGAGCTGGATCCCGCAGATGGTCAGTCTACATGTTGTTACTGGTCACCAGGGTTGCACATAAACGAAGCGATCAGCGCGGACACAAGCGTCCAGTCTGACCACAAAAGGCACTGGGACTTTGCCGAAGCCAAATCTCAAACTGTTGTGAAGCTCCGACTTGATGAAACCCGTCCTACGTCACCTAGACAACTCCAGCTCCCCACCTCCCCTGGGTGTTCGATGCTCCGTCCTTGGGAGCAGCGCTTCAAGGACTTTCAGTGCCGCCGTGGCATCTTCCACGCTGAACCCCTTTCCTTGGAAAGCGAAAAGGATCCTGTTTAGAGATTCTTTTTCAAAATATTCGGAGACCCCAACCACAAAAAGCAACAACGATCTCTAACCCTAACCTTGACCAAGTTTCGGAATGTCTCATTCCCCACGGTGATGATGATGCCCACATTCCGGCCACTCCCAAGCGGGCGCCGGGTCCAATCCAGTGCCCACCAGACCTCAATGACCAAGCCGCTTGTGAGGGCTTCGGAAGAACATGGGTTCCCGTGTTGTGCGTCCTTACAATGAGGGCTTCTATTATTTAGGGTCCAAGGTAGGGTTCCTCAATATGCTGCTGGTGGTTGCTGTCGTCTGGCAACACTAGCAGCACCAGCAGCACAAGCAGTAACGGTTTGTGAGAGTCCGAGCAATCGTCATCGCAGTCATGAGATGGTTTGTATGGCAACGTTTATGGCTGGTACGTTTAGGGGTCAGGAGTGAAAAGAGCAGAGACCGTGAAAAGAAAATGCCTAATAATAAAATATAATAATCAGAAAAGCATGCAAACAAACGCACGCTTAAATCATGCCAGCATAAAGCCCCGGAAAGAGCCCCACGACGACCACGGCGGACACAATCAGGACACGGCCGAACTGCTTTCCTCAAGTACTGCCGTGATTAGGAGAGGAGTAACAAACAAGACTCTTGCAAGTGCCGGAGGGGCTCAGATGCTTTTCCCCCCACGTACTATAGAGGCCTTAAGAATTAGAATAGGGTTTTGGGGCCCATTATACTATAATAAGGAACCCCCAAAACCCTATTCTAATTATTCAGGCCCTTACAGTACTGGATTCAGCGAGGCTCGGGAGCGAGGCCAGAATCTTTTCCCAAAGTACCGGCGCGATTCGGGAGGCGGAGCGGCAATAAGATGATCACATACTCATCACCAGCATTAGCACATCATCGGTATCATCACTATTGAACATGAATATGAATAGGAATAGGAGTAGGAATAGGAATAAGATGCTGACCAAAGGGACCTTCAGCCTGTACGTTTTCGATGGTTAGGTGGCTACTCTGTCAAAGTGAAGAAAACTATAGGCTTGGCATCTGAAGGGTGGGCGTGCTTCCGTTTTGGGTAGTTCTCAAAATTCGGGTACCTTTTAGGGATGCTTTTTATAAGGATGCCGTATTATTTTGGGGACCTGGAAAGGGACCCTACTTTAGAAAACTACCCATTCTCAAAGGTCGAGCAGCCTTGTTCACGGAGCTGCCCCAAGCCTTCCAGTCGAGCAGCGTAAACCCCAGGTCCCTATCGGTGGTGAAGCTGAGCTCTCCATGGTTGTTGAAAGGGATCTCGATCCTTTTCTCCTTCCCAAAGGGGAAGTAGTAGGACTTGATGCATAGGTGATCGGAGTAGATGTCCACAAACTTGTCGTGGTAGAGCTTCTCGCTTGCAGCTTGTGGGGCCATGGCCGAGGAGGTTTGCTCAAATCTGCTGGCTGGCTCCGGGTTTCTGGGCCTCTTCGCTGCAGATGCATGCAAAATCCGAGATAAGTTTTTTTTAAAGCACCTTAAGTTTAGGGTTTAGGGTTTAGGGTATTGGGGTTAGGGTTTAGGGCTTAGGGTTTTCGATGGAATGCCGGCTGCTAAAATCCCGAAGTGCCACCATCCTCCCTACAGACGAAGCATCCTTCAGCTGTAGACGGAACGCAGAGCCCGAGTCCCTCCGCAACTTGAAACTCCCGTAACTTAGGGTGGGGGCTTTAAGCGGATATCACGAGCACGGGCTCCAATATTTCACCGAACCCTTGAAGCCTCGACAAGACCGCACAAGCCTAGACTCCGAACAGCCTCCCGCGCGCAGAGTAGGCGTTCGGGCCATGCCACGCTACACCCAACGGAGGTTTGGGCTTCCGGCCCGAAACCCCTCCCTGGCGGGAATAAGAAGCCAAGGGACTGCCCATGGGAGGCCAACCAGGCCCTCTTTCCACCCCCCAAGGAGGCCTCAGGAGGCAGGGAGGGTTCAAGCTCAGTGTTCAGTGTTCCTGGTTTAGGGCTTATAGTGACGACGCGCGATGACCCCAGATAAAGGAAATGCATGCACCTCCAATCCATCTCCACAAAGATGCGAACATTGGGGTCAGTCTAGTCCAGCACAGGGCGAATGCCTCCATAGTTCCTTGCCCCTCTTTGTTAACGGCAAGGAGTACAGGGCTCGTTGCGAGGGCTTGCGCAAGAGGGATCTCAAGCTCGAAAATGTTCCCACCAACTTAGGTTTTTGGGAGAGCTGTAGGTCGACGTGCCACCGTCGAGTGCAACTCCTGAGGGTGAGGGTGCAATGAACGGGGGGCTTAAGCTTCATCCAGAGCCTGAAATCTTTTAAGGCAGTAGCTTGTCATTGTGTCCCTCATACTGCTACTTACTACTTCGTCAGCTCGAAGTCGCCTTTGCAGGCATGCATCCTACGGTCTTCACAGCACCAGCAGCAACACGCAAAAACCTAACGATAAGGGCAGCACGGTAGCAGCAGCAAGTATCTTGAAGGCTGAGAATTTTGTCTGTGCTATCAGCAGCGTCTTTGCTCGACCTCCTGCCAAACGCATTTTTCTCCCGAGAGTGCGCTGTAGGCCATGTCGCCGCGCACCTGCCTGTTGCCTGGGCGGAGGCTACCGCTAAGGGCCTTGAGGCTTCGTGGTGTCAGAAGCTTGGCTCGCAGTGAAGGGGGCAACCTGAAGCCCCTTAAGCCCTTAAGCTCCCCAAATGCAAAACCCAAGATCCGAAGAACACGCCGTAGAGCCTTAAAGGGTCTGAAGATTCGAAGACTTGAAAGCTTAACTCGTCGTCGGAGAGGAGGAGGAGGAAGAGGAGCAGTAGCAGTGGAAGTCGTCGTCGTCGTGGTAGTGGTGGTCGAGGTAGTGGGAGTAGTAGTGGTACTGGTAGTGGTGGTGGTAGTGGAGAGGGAGTAGTAGTGGTAGTGGTTGTGGTGGTAGTAGGTAGTAATAACAATGATAAAAACAATAATAATAGCACTACTGCTGCTGCTACTACTACTACTACCACCACTACAACCCCTTAGATCCTAGTCCACCAGGTCGCGTGAAGGGACTCATGCCTCGTGATGAGCTAGCAACCGTTTTTCCCAGACAACCCCGAAACCATTGGCAACCTCCCTTTCGGGCCTCAATGACCCAAACACGACCGTTCAAAGCTAACAAAAACACAAGTCCGGACCGAGGCTGTGACTACCGGTGTGCTGCACGTTGGATTGCTTCGCGATGCGGCTCCCAAACTGGATCGCTCGCTTCTTGAAGCGCCTGAGTGCTCTCTCTCTCTCTCTCTCTCACTCTCTCCCTCCCTCGTCTGTCGTTCACTGTGAGCATCGTTGCTGCCAGCAGGTTTTATGTACTCTGTTGTGAGCTACATTGACAATATCTGCGCACCTGCATAGTGACCCTGCTGTTGATACTGACTCGACAGGGTCGGACAACGTTTGCCATTTGAAGGAGCTGGAACAATGATTGAACATCGGTACTATGTTCTTGCCGGTGATGGGTGTTATGGAATGGGGCACTGCGTTGACTGGGTTTGAGGCTCCCGGCTTCCAACGCTTTGCGGCACGCACAATCCTAAGATAGCGCCGCTGGCTCAGCCGAGACACGAACAAGTCTCCAAGCCCCGTTCGGCAGCAAGCGCTCTCAGCAGCCACTTGTCTGGTGATGGATCCGACTCGCCTGCATGCAGACACACTGCTCCTAGTGGCCTGCTGCGTTCTGTATCCGAAAACCGTAGCCAAGGCAGGGGACCGACACTCAGGGCTTGCTATCTTCGGACACTTTACGTCGCATTGGCTTTGATGCTCTGGCAGGCTACAAGGTCCTGGAAAATATGAAGACATCACCAAGTGGTGACCGTGCAATGCGGAGCTCGTTGTCCACAAAAGTCGACAGCAGACGGATACTCGCTCCTTCCCCGGAGGTCAGGGCAACCGATGGCAGTGGCAGTGGCAAGGAGGGCATCCCCTCTGACTGCACTGCTGGTTCAAGGCAGGCGCTCTGAAAGCTGATAGAAACCTAGGCTTCGCATGAGATCCGCTGTTGAGGCTTTTCTCGCTTCTGGAAGCTTACAAAGCGGGGTATCAGTCTTAGAAAAGGTGGCACAAGAGGAATCCAAAGGAACGCTGTCGTCCGGAAGCAGCTTGCCCGTGGCCTGCACCTTGGAGAGTATGGTGACTGCCCTCGCCAGATCTGGAAGCACCACTCCAAGCACCCCGATGCCCTTGGGAGATAGCTCCACAGAGTTGGTGATACTCAAAGTAGCCCCAGGGTCATCTGGGCCCGCCCTCTCGATATCCTGCCGGATCTCTCCGCAGTCGGCAAGAGGCAGGGAGGTGAGGAGAAGGACGTCCGGCGACGTCGCCCAAATCAGGCGCCACTTCCCAGAAAGCGCGGAGACGAAAACGTCTTCTTCCAAAGGCTCCCCGGGGCCTGAGCCCCAGCTCCTCGGCTTCTCTTCCAGCCGAAAGAAGACAACTAGGCTACTTCAATCAAGTTCCTGTAACAGAAATCCTTTCCAAAGTTTTCTCAAAACCCCAGAAGAAGCCCGACTTCAACCCCTCTCATGAGAAGAGCCCGGCTTCCGGAAGCTCGGCTTCAAGGCCTCCAGCTCTTCGACGCCTGGGCTCTTGTTAAGGAACTTCAACGAAGTTACCAACCACAACAGGGATCCCTATCTTTTACCAAAGATCCCGAATGTGGCGTTATGGCTAATGTAGGGGCCTCTTGTTATAATTATAGTATAGCATACCCCAAACCCTATTCTAATCATTAAGGCCCCTAGATTAACTCAAAATAAGGTCCTTAATAAGAGCCAGACGCAGGTCATGATCTCCGCCCGTTGCCCGGGCTGCAGTGCAGAGAAGCCCCGGTTGCAGCCGGCGGTGAGCCGAAGGAAGCGGTCCTTCCTGGCGTCTCAGAAGGTTTAGAGTTAGGGGGCTTAGGGGTTTAGGGATTTGTTTCATGAGGGTCATATCATACGGATGATAACATAAATCCTGCATTACTCATAATAAGGAACATACCATAATGCCATATAATGCCCATAGTTTAGGGTCCTTAAGCTAATGCAGGATTTATATCATCAACAGTATGTCATGAGGGCGACTGCAAGGGTTTAGGAGGGTCGTATAAGGTCACGTTGGGCATGATAAGGGGTGCTGTGAAGTGTTATGGCCTATTATATTGGAAGGGTCTGCACTGTCTGGTACTGTAGGGATTCAGAACTTTTTTCTATCACGGTGTTGCGTCGGATTTTCCGAACATGAATAATCACCCTTTGGGCTCTCCACACCGAGGATGAGGATTCTGTAGCCTATAGGATTGTTGAAACTTTTCCTCAATTTTATGACATGCCGATAAACTGCGATATATATGATTGTAGCAGCTGAATAGGGATTTGGGATACTACGGAAGGCATTTTTGGGCGTCGAGCACAATACAGAAAGAGAATCAAAGCCAGCTCAATAGCAGCAAAGCTTCAGTCGGGACAGCTCCTCCTGCGCAGCGTCTTGGCCTGGCAGTGGACGCTGCAGGACAAAGGCTGCAATGGACTGAGAGAGCCGTTGTATCCGGGAACTTCCCAGGGGCGCATCGAGCGGAGTCGTGTGGCCACCTGGGAAGCGCAGCTTCTCGACTTCACCGCCGCCTTGGCGGATCAAGTCCATCAGGCGATCGCTCTCGTCCGTGAAGTCGTTCGCAAATTGCACCACCAAGGTGCGTGTAGACGGAAACTCCGACAAGACTCGCGCTGAGATGTCCTCTGTTGACAAAGTGAACTCCGTCTGGCCCTCCACCACGCTCCCAAGCAGTGGGCCCCACTGCGAAAGAACTGGCGCTGTGCGCGATGAGAAATCCTCGGAGGGCGCCGCAGCGCCGGCGGCTCGGATGGCCCGCTCCGCGGCCGCCAGCGCCTCCTCCACCGGAGCATCGGCGAGGGCTCCCTCGACGCCGTTGCGGAGGCGCTCCCGGAGCTTGAGGTCTTCGGGAGGTGGGGGGAGGGGCACAGGGATCGCATCTGAGACGGGCTTGTTGTTGAAAGCCATGAGGATGCAGGCCTCGTGCCGGCCATGGGCGACGGCCAGCAATGTATGCAGCAACGCCCCGCACGAGTGACCAATTGCTGCTGATGGAAGATCCTTCATTGTGGGATCCTCCTCTGCCAACTGGGCCACCACCTGATCGAACTTGCTCGAAGTATCCGTCGCCATGGCGTCGTAGTCAAACGTCAGTTTGTACGGTGTTGCAACTACAACTGCCTCGCCTTCTTCCGCAAGACTCTCCAAAAAGTCCTTGTAAAAGAGCTTCGGGGAGGCACCGACGAAAGCGCCACCAATGAAGTGCACGTGCCTTCTCGGTTCCGATGGGACGAAGACCGGGCACCCGCAGATTTCTTGCCAGCCGCGTGCCACACTGGCCGTTGCCGGTGGTGCCTTCGGCGCCGGTACTGGGTCTTCCGCTTTCGTTGTGGCCTGCAGTGCGACGCTTCGTGCACCTTTGCGCCGCATCTGGGTGCCAACACCCCCGCAAAACGCCGCTAGCAGCAGTGCTGAGGAGCTGCCCTTTGACGAGCCCTGGCAGCCCAAGCACTGGCCTTTCTCGGAGGATTGCCACCTGGCATGTTGCACAACTTGGGCTTTGGTGGAGGCCACCGCGGGAGCGATCATGTTCGCAATGTCACAAGCACGACGGCCTGAGAGGCATCTACGCGACGCCTCCTTGCAGGCTTTGTGCCAAAGCTGCTGAGAAAGGGTTTTAAGCGCAAGCCAGCTCACTGGACAGACCATATCAGACCATCCTCAGCTCCTCCTCCTCCTGCTCATCCTGCTCATCCTCATAGGGTATGAGTCATACCCGACTCCTACCTCTACTCCCGTATACATACATAGAGCAGACAGACAGGTATGAGCTCCATCTGCACATTCGGCCAGCATTTGCAGGCGTTGATACACATGTCGCTGTCATATAGCAGTTGACCTTCCATAGGTGCCTTTTCCCCAGAATGTTATGCTAGATAGCATTTTAACTTCAGCCTAGAAGAGGGCTCGTGTTAAGTGTTGCTCAATGTTTTCAGCGGATTGATGCCAGGTGTCCCTCGTCTTCTGTTGCCCTATGCTTTCTGTCAGCAACAAGGTGGTAAGAATCTCGATCTTGCATGCTTTGGCTCGGCCTGTCCCTAAGTGGAAAACTTCGAGACTGGCTGGCACTCAGATCGTTGATGGAACATGCCCTGCTCAGGGTTTACCCGCAGCTCACGGTCGGAGATGAAAGATGATGAGGATCATGTAGATGATGCTGCTTCTGTCGGCTGTTGCCACACCTGACCTCAAAAAAAAACATTGGACTGCACCTCCGGGTCCATATGCCAGGAGGTCAATGGGAAGGCTTCCGACGAAGCGCAGCAGGTGCTCGTCCAGGAAGGGGTGTCTGGGAGCCGTCCGCGGCAATCGGTTCGGGAACCCTTGATGCTTGCTATTGCAGGTAGCAGCTCGCGGGACCATCAACAAAAAGCTCACACAATCCTTTGTAGAACTAGCCCCGAAGGGTTCCTAGCTGCCTGATATAGGGCCTTGTCGCACAGGCCCGTGTTGCGAATATGCGAGGATCAAGATTCTCTGGCGTTACACTCCAAGCAGGATTTTTGTTACCTGCTTTGCTTGAGGGTCTTGCTTCCCAGCCCTTAACACCAAACGAGAACCCCAAAGCCCAAAGGACCCACATGACACACCCGCTTCCGCTCATTGAAAAGCATTCTCCAGGCTTGCCGTGGCTTTCATTATTCACGGGTTTAGGGTTTAGGGTTTAGGGGACCTGCATACTTGTGTCTTGCCATCAACCTTGCCGCTCTTGCAGCTCTTGCTCTGAAGATGTGCCGAAACCTCCTGGCATTCCGGCCTGGCTTCCCGGCCGTGGTCGGCAATGATGCGGTCATCCCGGCCCAGGTTGCCTCTGATCCAAAACTGATCTAAGAGTGTTCACCACAATACACATGAATATAGTCATCGCAACAATCATGCGAAAACAGCGAACCAAATTCCATGATGGTGAAATTACGGAGAAGCATGATGACATGAGAACACTTGCCATGAAAGTAGCAGCAGGAGCACGATGAGGAGTGGGAGGAGTAGGAGGAGTGGGAGAAGTGGGAGGAGCGGGAGCAGCAGCAGGCGGAGGAGGAGGGCTGGTGGTGGTGGTGGTGGTTGACGTGGTGGTGGCGGTAGCACCTGATAACTGGATGAATAATGGGGTTTGTGTTGGCCGTTTGTCCGAAACGCATGCATGCGTTCAAGACACCTCGTATTCTGACCCGATTGTCTATGGCTGCTGTTACCATCACCAGCAGGCCCTGGTAACGTTGCTACTGGCATGGTCATCCTGGTTGCTAACCTGACTACGGTACCATAGTATTCGAGATGTATAGATGGTCCTACTAGGTTGTCACCTGGCAATCCTGCTGAAGCTTATACTCTTGTCCGGATCACCACTGTTGACACGATTGCTGTTCTTGCGTTCGTTTCCACTATTGCTGCTGTTCCTCTCCTTGTCTATCAAAGTGCTACTAATATCGCTACAAGGTGCTGTTAGCAGCGCTGCTGCTGGATCTGCTATTTGTCATTATTCCGGCTCGTCCAAACCAATATTGCGTATGCGATTAGCTTGTTCATGTTAAAATCGCGACTCGCCAGCCTGCCTGCCAGGTAAGACGATTGTTGTTGACTCATTGGGCGTCAAATTGTCTAAGGCTCGGATTTGCCGGAGGGTTGCTGCGCTTGGGGCACAGAATTGCGAGCCGACTCTCGTTGCAAGACCGGGGTGCGCGTCCACAGCCGCTGCAAGTCCTGTGCCGGGAGCATTACATGACTTTGAAAGATGACCCAAAAGGATGCCGATTTGTGCATGACTGTATCCATCTATCTGCCTTTCTGCCTGCCTGTCTGCCCTAGCTGGCTCGCTGCTGACTGGCTAGCTTGTCGATTGCTTGCCTTTTGTTGTTCCTTTGTTTTGGTTTGCCGGGATGAGTCCAAGATGAGTATGATTTCGCTTGTGTTCAATGTGGATGCTTCTAAACACTACACTGCACAACCCTCTGACGGCGCAACATCACTCTATAGGGGCTTTAATGGCAGGAATAGGCGTTTGGTGGGCATACTATAGTTCGCAAGATGGTACCCCAAGGAATAGTATTGGGTATTCAGACCAACAATAACCTGTTTGCTTATGGACCGGGGGGAACAGTCCTTCAGCATCTCATCTCGGGTCCCTTCGGCGCCGCGCTTCACTCGGGCCGTGCGGTGTCGGGAGTAGCCGCCCAGAAGTTCATCGGCACCTGCGGCGGTGATCGATTTCAGCACATAGGGCTTCTGGCTGGAGGATTTAGGGGGGGGTTTACGGTTGCGGCGATTGCGGATCTTAGGGCTGAGGGTTCGAGGCTCGAACGGGATTGAAGGCTTTCGGTTTGAGCTTGGGCAAAGCAGCAAGTCCACTTCTAAAGGCAGGGGAGGGTCCGCCCCAAAGCCTGAAGCCCTTCCCTGACCCCAACACACTCGATCCCTGAAAAGGGTTCCAGGGCCCGGCCAGTACCGATGAGGAGGACGCGGCAGGCCGCTTGCACCACGAGGGCCTGGCCACTGAGGACTTGGGCAGGTTTTGGGAATTGGGCTCTTAAGGCTCAAACCCTGGAAAGATTGATTTAGCTGGCAAGCTGGGCGAGTGTAAATCATAAGTTCTTGACACTGAGGACGCCCAGCTAGAACTTCAACAACCCTCCTACAACACCAGGACTTTGAATACGACTGCGACGACCAGGACTACCAGGCACAACTACGGCCACCACCACTATTACGACTACCACAACTTCTGCTCATACCCCTGCTCCTGCTGCTACTGTTGCTACTGCCTGCTGCCATGGCTACGGTACGGCTAGGCTACTGAGGTCGCAAGGCGTTGACTTCTGCTGTCGTTCTGCTAATAACGGTTGCACTGATGTTTGAAGAAGTTTTTTGCACATGTGCTACTGCCTCCTCGCCAGCGCAGCGCCGGGCACTCATGCAGGTGGTCACCGGGGCCTGGGGCAAGTCAAGATGCGAGGCACATGCTAATTATTGCTCCGCAGAGCACGTACTGAGCAGGTCCTGCTAGCCTCCTCCTCAGCCTCTTTCCCGGCGGCGGCGGACACGTCAGGCCCTGACCGGACAGGTTGTGACAGGTACAACGTTGGCCTGGACCGAAGCTATCTAACTATCTTTGCAACGAGATTTTCCTGGGGGAGCTGCACATCTAGTTAATCCTCGAAACAGCAGTGCGTGAAACCCATCAAATGTCGAATGTCTTGAAACACGCCCTGCACGGCACAGAACGCAGAATCATTAAATCGCACCTACAACCTTGTACGTCGCTCTGCACTCAAGCAAGCCCGGAAATGAAAGTGTCAGGCAGTCCATGTCAACAAAGCTCCTGAACTTCTTGTGATCATATCCGCAGCGGTAGTTGAATCTTGAACCCCCAACCCTAAACCCTAAACCCTAAGCTGAGCCCTTCAACCCTGCCTGGTTCTGACGACTTCGCTTTGTGCACCGAGCACCAATCATTTGGTTCTCCAGCCGCCTTCAGCCGGGTCCCGACAAGCGGCTGACCAGGGGCTCCAGTCTATTTGGAATAAGGTTTAGGGCCTTAGGGCTTGAAAGTTTCAGGCGTCTGGGGAAGCAGGGCTTTAGAATAAGAATAAGCCTCTTCTGAGTTTTGCTAAGGACTTTATAACTATAACTTATACTGATTAGGCTTTACAACAACGAGCCCGAAGTAGCCAGTATGTAACCAATCCCAAACCCTCGGATTTTCAGCCCAAAAACCTTCACAACTCCGAAGCTCCACCCTGTTTTGGACCCTCCCGTAGCCTGGCGCAGCTTTCGGCAGCAGAGCTTGCAGGCACCGTGGGGGCAACCTCGCTCCGGACGTGTAAGGGGATCGGTGTGGTGTCGGTTTCAGTTTAGGAGGGCTTTTCGTGCGATTAGATTTCGGAGCTTGCCATCCATCGGCAATTTCGGTCCGTGGTCGCTGCGATGTTCAATGCTCATTGATATGTCAGACTTGCATTTGAGAAAGCCTCCGGATGACACACAGAGAGCCTCGAACCCCTTCATTCCAAACCTAGCTCATGCATATCACGTAATTATCCCTATAAGTCGAAGTTTCCGGACCATGTAGCTACCGGGATCAATGGAAAAAACCTACCTTCACCCGACCTCTCAAAGGTCCTGGAAAGGCATTCAGGCTTCATTGAGGAAACCACACACATCTTCTGCATTCCACCACTAAATCTGAAGTCTTCAGTGACCGTGACCTCCGAACCCTACAACCTCCTAAATTCCCAACCATCCACACTCCGCCCTAAACGCCAGTTACCCCTTAACCGCCTTAGCCCCAAGACCAAAGAACCTCAACCGTCAACCCTCAGCCCCGAACCCTGAACCCTAACCTAACCCAACATGCACACCTGGCTTGGCCGGAAGAACGCAGCGCACGCAGGGCAATCTCTCTGCAGGTGCCGCCGGGCCTGGTAGGCTCAAAGCAGCTTCGGACTCCGAACTTTGTTCCGGCTTGTGGGGTTTGGTGAGTTTGGGGCTTGGGACCTGGGACGCCAGACCTTCGTTGGGATTTCGGGACTATGAGGCTTCAGGCTCTGGAACGGCCTGAGAACTACTTGCAATCAAGCATTCCTTTCGAACTACTACTTGCCTCAGCCTCAGTGCATGACAGGGAAAGAGAAGTCTTGTCCAGGCTTTTCGAGTGTCGGCGGGGATGCACGAGCTAGGATTCGTCTTTGAGCCCCGCGAAGTCCCAAGCCCTGAGCCGGAAAAGCAAAACAACAGAATGCAACCTACTCCGTATGAGACCGTACCATAGCAATCTACATACACTGCCTCCTCGTTCGATGGGCTTCAGCGGCTCAAGCTGCACGGCTTCCATGGCCTGCAGCAGAGCAACTTCCGGTTCCGGACTCAAGTGGGGCTGCCTCGGGGCTGTGTGGATGTGGGAGTTTTAGTTTAGACGCTCACTAATGTAGAACCCGAAGTACTAGGATCCTCATTATCAGGAACTCCCAACGAGGCACCTTAGTCTTCCGAAACTCCCATATGGGCTTTAGGAAGTGAGGCTGATACTCTTCGCCACGCCTGCGTTGCCTTGGCAGAAGGCCACCAGCCAGTCTCGAGAACGCCGGCGGGGCAAACGAGCCCTCGGCCTTGCCGCACTTAGTCTTCATAGCGCGGGCGGCTCACATGGTCCCTTTTGGGGTTGGGATTTTCGAAGCCGATGGTTCCTTGCCTGCGAAGCACGACACTCAAGCCAGGTCGGACCGAAACCTTCGAGGCCAAAGAAAATCCAAATTGCCAGCTCTAAGCCTGCAGGTCGCATGCTCTACTTGAGACAACTAGGGGCTAGTTTCTGCAGAGATCCCCATACTCAAGGTCTATATTAGGGTCCCGTATTTTCCTGAAAACTTCCACAGGATGCAATCCCGTCCACGGGGACTCTCTCTGCCCGACGCCACCGTCCCAACGCCTCCAGCCGAAGCCTGGAAACCCTGAGCCGCGCCTCGGGCAGCAAACCAAAGGGCTGCAGCGATGTTGAAGTCCAGGTGCGTTGCCTGATGTGACAAGAGGTAAGGAATAAAACATAACCTGATGTAAAGTTGACACTGTAATGGAGTATGAAATAGTAACAGTGTAACAGTGACAAGAAGGTGCGAAGGTAGGTCCGAACTGCGAAGAGAGGAATTGGGATGCAAGGCCCGAGGGGCAGAGGGTTTGCATGGCCAAGGTCATAGTCATAGGGGTTGTAGGGGGTTTAGAAGTTTAGGTCTTGTGCTCTAGGGAGTTTTCGGCCATGGGGGCCCTCCAACACATCAATGCCATGCAGGTGCGTATGTGTGTATAACTCTATCTATCTATACAGATAGATAGATAGATAGATAGATAGACATACATACATACATACATACGTTGATACATACATACATTTATGTATATGCATGTGCATACAAAGGAGGGGGGGAGAGAGAGAGAGAGAGGCAGAGAGAGAGCGAGAGAGTAGGACATGATATCATACATCGATCGAGCAAACAAGTGTAAATGTTGCCAGTACAGTAAGGGCAGCAATAATGAACAGTAGTAGTGGAAAGGAAACTGGTAAAACAATCAGAGCTAGAACTAGAGAATGTAACGGAACGACGATGCGACACTACATGATAAAAAGACATTATGAAATACATAACAAGAGATATGACACACACGCACACATACAATTTAAACAAAACCATATACTCATCTACACACGTTCATACAATGCGGGAGCCGCGCATAGCATGGAACAGTGTGACACAGCATAGTGCATCACACTGTCATACGGCACAAAATACGTAACAACAATGTACGTAATACGTATGATTTATTGTGTAGCAAAAAATGAACCAAAGCAGTACGTCCAACACCAACAATGGCAACAACACTGACAACAGCTGTATGTTATCGCAGCCATATGCATCAGAAACGATGACAGTACAGTTGTTCTTCTTCATGCACTTCTTCTTCACATGTTTGTAACAATCATAATGCAGGTAGTGATAATGACACCACATGACGGCGCCTACAGTGAGTCCTGAACCGCAACCCTAGCCGCAAAGGCAAGGCCCCAACAAGCCTCAAAGCCTGAATTTCGGAAGCGAACCGGGGCCAGGCGGAGCCTTTTTGTCGATCCTCTGCTCTGTTTTTTTGTACTTTTCTAAACCCTAACCCCTAAATCCTGTTTTTTGTGTCTACGAAACCGGGCCTTGGGACCCAAAAGCCGACAGATCGCCAGCTCTTCCTCGTAGACCTCCTGCTGCGTGACGTCGCAGAGCACCTGAAATCTGTTGCGGGGCTTCAGGGTTTAGGGGGTTAGGGTTTAGGATTTAGGGTTCAGGGCTTAGGGTTTCGGGTTAGGGTTTAGGGCTTAGGGTTTAGGGGAATTTTGGTTTCCGGTGTTTAGTCGTCGTTTGGCTTCCTGGCAGCATCGAACACCACAAACGTGTCAAAGCAAGTAGAGGACACGCTGCAACAAACAACAAACGAATATGGCCGGACACGGATTCATACAACATAGTGTGATGGAGCATGACATACTATGTTACAGTATATGCACTATGCAGTATATGCTTTAGTCCCAAGCCACGAACTTATCCTGATTCTGTAGTGTGCTTCTTCATACCATGCTTCTTGTTGTCACCACTGCGGCTTATACAAAAACCCAGCGCTTTCTCAAGCCCAAGGCTGGGAATCCTCCCGAAGCCCAGCCTCGCGAGCCCTAAACCCTGCATTTAAACGTACTTGGGCTTTGCAGATTAGTACTTGGTTCAATCTAGGGAGCCTTTATATGAAGGAGTCCAAAGTTCTCGATCGTTGCAGGGGTACCCTATTTTCGGAAACTTTTATGTGCTCAGTGTCTTAGAAACACAACTTGATTTCATCCAGGGTGATTTTATTACTGCCATCGTACTACCTCAACAAGGCGGTGGGTTACCTACTCGACCACGACGCTGACAATACTGCAGAGACCAAGCGTAGCAAGGCTATTGCTCCTGATCGATACATGTGTTATCGTTATCGCTACTGCTTGTGGACAGTGGTTACTGATTATTTTGGTTTGGATGTTGCAAATATCTTTCGAAAATAAGTGCACAAACCCTTCCTGAGCTCTACTACGATTTCTCTTGGTCCTGTCATTGGTCTTACTGTCAAGCTTGCTATGATTGTTGGCCTTGTCAGTATTCCCAGTGTTTTGGATACAATCAAGGCGGCATGCAGCAGTGCCACTGCCCGAAGCCCCAGACTTTGATCCCTATGCCTCCCCACAATCACATAAGTCATGCAGGGGGGAGGGGGGTACCTTAATCAGGGTCTCTACAATAAGGATCCCATAAGGGGCTCCCTCTTATTCTGAACCCAGAGAACCCAATACCCCTTAATCAAGGAATATACCTTAAATCATGATATTAAGGCCCCGATAATTTAAGGCATATTCCTGAATTAAGGGGTAGTGGGTTCTCTGGGAAACTCAACTCCCACGTGGCTGCTGCCAGGAGGCCAGCCGAAAGCGCTCAGCTCCGTACTGCCGCACGAGATCCTTCCGTTTGGGGCGTTGGAGATCTGAGGGTCTCTGGTTCTGAAAGGATCATGAGACTTCGTAACGTACTGAGGCCCATGATCCTCCAAGTTTGGGGGCTTCTGATTTCGGGGTTTCGGGTTTCAGCTCTCAGCTTCGGAGTTTGGGTTACATAAGATGTTCTCGCTATGTCGAAGTCTGTGTAACCTGGAAGATCAGATCGTTTGCTTCATGCAGCGCTGAGGGCTTAGTTTGATGCGATAACGTTGCCCGGCCTTGCCTCCCAGGCCCAGCGTAGCAGTGGTGTCATCGAAATTTTACTTGCTGCTACTGCAGACTGACACAGGTTCGGGTTGGTGTGTTTAGGTTTCAGGGCGCTTTGAATCACTCCCCGAGACCCTGAACCGTTAAACCCTTAAGCTCTAAACCCGAAACCCTGTCGTCGCCCTGCAGGTGCCTCGTAGCTGCAGAGGGCCGTGAGGCGGTCTGGCGCTGAGCCGTCGAAGGCTACCTTGACGCTGGGCTTCTGTTCCTTTGAAAGGGTCTGGGGTTTAGGGATTCGGGTTTGGGGTTTCGGGTTTAGGGGAAGAACGGGTTCCTTCCAGGGTTTCTTCAAAACGGATCCTTCAAAGGGGTCTATAAGGGTTACTAGAAGAGGCACTGCGAGGGGTTGGTTTAGGTAAGGGGGCTTCAGCTAGGCAGGGCATGGTAAACGGGTCGCCATGAGCGTGTGGGGGGGGCGGGGGTAGAACAGGTGTTCGTGTTTTTTTTGCAGGCTCTCCTCTGTCAGCACACGACATTCGAACATGGCTTAGAGTTTAGAACACAGGGGTTGAGAGCGGGAGAGACAGCTCAAGACCGGGATGCACATGCAGTCGGCAGCAGATCGAGACGCAACGTAAGCCCCAAAGGATTTTGAGGAGGGACCAAATCAAATCGAGCGGCATTGAGCAGCTCGATCGTACACCCCGGCACTGCCTTTCGGATGGAATACGACGCTTGGCTTGGGATCGTACACTCAATTTCTTATTGGGTCACTCAGACTGCGGTGTAGGGTTTGGCGCCTGAGTCTGGGGTGTAGTGCAATCCCACCAAGACCCCCGATTCAGCAACGTGCTTCCCTGCCTCTCTCAGCTGGGAACCCTACATCAATCTGCCTTGGTCTCTGATTAACCAAGAAAGTTGGATCCTCTCCGTGGCTGGCTTCGGACCAGGATCCCAAAACGCACCCTACATCCAGGCCCCCGGAAAAAAGGCAAGCCTCAATAAAACACCAATGCAAAGCTTGAAGTGCTAACCACGAGTTCAAGCTTTTGCAGATGTAACGTCCAGTTAGTTGCGAAACCGCTCTGAATCCTTCCAGGGCGGCTCTTTCAACAAGCACCCGAGCTGGTTGCATGCATACGCCTGCCACATGTCCCCAAACTCTATATAAACCCACGAACCCTGCAACAGGCCCTTATCGAATCCTGAAAAGCCCTCGCAACACCCTCATAAACACCGCCCACAAACCCCCCAAAGCCAGCGACCCCTATAAGGCCCCTGTCGTCCCCCTAGAACTCGTATAAAAAACGCCTAAAAGGCCTCTGTCGTCCCCCCAAACTCTTATACAAATGCCTAACAGGCCCCTCTTGTCCCCTGGAAAACTCTTGGCAAAAGCCCTCCAGAAAACCCCAGGAGCCCCGGGGTGGCCTCGGCTGCCAGGGCTGCAAGGACCGTGGAGTCCAACCCCCCGGAGAAAAGGAGGCCCAGGTGAGGCGCGTCTTTGGCACCTGCTTTTGATGTAGTATACAGTATACTAGTATAGAATAGAAAAAAGAATAGACTAGACTAGAATGGAATAGACTAGACAGGAATAGAACAGAATAGACAAGAATAGACCAGAATAGGCTAGAAGACAAGAGAAGAGAAGAGAACAGAAGAGAGGAGAGGAGAAGAGAAGAGAATAGAATAGAGTATAATGTAGCATAGTATTTATATAGATGTAGTTGCTATATAGTTTTTCTTTAATTTTCCTTTGGGAGTTTGGGAACCTTAAGGCTCTACTAGGGTCTTTGATATCTAGGATGGCAAGAACACCCGCAACCATGACAAACATGGTCGTGTTGTGAGCCTGCGAGTTGGGCCACGTGCGACACGCGCAATGCGACGGCAGCCGCCAGCAGTTGGCCAAAAGTTGCCACCGGCGTCGCGGGTGCCACAGCGGCCGAAGCCCACCACCTGCTGTGACATGAGCAGGCATAACCGTGATGACAGAAAGGCAAGATCTGCCTTGTGTCGCCACAGCACCAGATTTGTATGGTCCAGATTTGTCCTTTATCAGCAGCTACTTATTGCTGCCTTCCGCTAAACCATCGGACCGGGCAGGGCTTCTGCTTTACTCAGAGAGGCGCACCAGCTTTGCTCGAAGGCCACAGGCTCTTCCCAGGGCACATGGCGAACCCACGGCTCCTGCGCGCTTGTTGGTGACAACTTTAGTGGCGTGTGGTAAGAGATGCAAAACAATGGTGATGGTGGAAGAAAGCCTTGATTCATGGTGTTGCTGATTGCAGTAGCAGCCAGAGTAATCTAGTTTCCCAGTAGAACACGACTGAGGTATAGACAGGGTATAGATAATGCAACAGCAAAGCGCTGCCGATGAGAATATTCATGGTTGGTCATGACGATGATGATGATGGTGGTGGTGGTGATGCCGATGGTGGTGATGATGATGGTGGTGGTGGTGGTGATTAAGCCACTTGCGATGGGGTAAACCACTTGCGTGGCTGCATCTTCAGGTTTTCGAGCGGGGCAGAAACATACCTGTCAGCCAGGATTGGGGTAAACCACTTGCGAGGGCTGCTTCTTTTGGGTTTTGGCTTTATGGTTTGTAAA